CAGTCAGTGCAGCCTATCAGTGCCAGTCAGTGTGCCACTTATCAGTGTGCATCAGTGCCGCCTATCAGTGCCCATCAGTGCTGCCTAACAGTGCCAGTCAGTGCCACCTAACCAGGCGCGGACTGACAATCATGGGGCCCCCGGGCAATAGGGGATCATGGGGCTCCTGTGTCCTTGCCCACACTCAAAAAAGCCTATAAAAGGTACCAGGGGCATTTCATGGGGCCCCCTACTGACCCTTGGCCCTCGGGCAGTGCCCAAGTTCTCAAACAGTCAGTCCGCCCCTGCACCTAACAGTGCCAGTCAGTGCCGCCTATCAGTGCCATATATGAGTGCTGCCTTTCAGTGCCCATCACTTATGCCTGTCAATGCCCATCAGTGCCACCTACCAGTGCCTCCTCATCAGTGCCCATCAGTGCCACCTATCAGTGTCCATCAGTGTAGCCTATCAGTGCCCATCACTACAGCCCCATTAGCGCACATCAGTGAAGGAGAAAAATCACTTATTTACAAAATTTTATAACAAAAACTAAGAGAACTTTTTTTTTTTCAAAATTTTCTGTGGTTTTTGGTTTGTTTAAGAAAAAATAAAAAACCCAGAGGTGCTTAAATACCACCAAAATAAAGCTCTATCTGTCAAAAAAAAAAGATAAAAATTTCATATGGGTACAGTGTTGCATGACCACGCAAATGTCAATCAAAGTGTGACAGTGCTGAAAGCTGGAAATTGGCCTGGGCAGGAAGGGGGTATAAGTGCCCTGTAGGCTAGGGGTTAATGGACATGTTTAATAGCAAAAAGTAAAAAATATTGTTTTTTTTCTCAAAATTGGTCTTTTCTTTTTTTACAGCGCAAAAAATTAAAAATGCACAGGCAATCAAATACCATGAAAGAAAGCTCAATTTGCGGGGCAAAAAAGGACAGAAATTTAATTTGGGTGTAGCATTTCATGACTGTGCAATTATCAGTTAAAGTAACGCAGTGCTGTAACGCAAAAAATGGCCTGGTCAGGAAGGGGAGTAAATCCTCAGGAGGGAAAGTGGGTAAATGCATTTGGAAAATAACGCATTTTTTTTAGTGATTTGACTACTTTTGAAATAAATTCTGCATGAGTTATTTTAACTCAAAAATCCATGCTGTATGTATCTCTTACTGAATTGACCCCCAGATCTCAATGGGTAAAAATCTCATGCTGGATATCTATACTGATATGGACTGGGTAATGTGTTAGGAACATAAGGATGCCCCAAATGCAAATTAGCAACTTACAGAGGACTGAATTCAAAGACATCCCGAACATCAAAGTGAAAAATGATGTAGCAGGCTAGTCCATTTTGCTAAAATTTCATTGCAGCAACTCAAAATGGTACTCAGTAGTTTGTATGGCCCCCACGTCCTTGTATGCATGCCTGACAATGTTGGGGCATGCTCCTAATGAGACGACGGGTGGTGTCCTGAGCTTTTTCCTCCCAGATCTGGACCATGGTATCACTGAGCTCCTGGACAGTCTGAGCTGCAACCTGGCGGTGTCGGAAGGACCGAAACATGATATCCCAGAGGTGTTCTATTGGATTTAGGTCAGGCGTGTGTGGGGGGCCATTCAATGCTATCAATTCCTTCATCCTCCAGGAACTGCCTGCATACTCTCGCCACATGAAGCCGGGTATTGTCGTGCACAGGAGGAACCCTGAACCCACTGCACCAGTATAGGGTCTGACAATGGGACCAAGGATTTCATCCCGATACCTAATGGCAGTCAGGGTGCCATTGTCTAGCCTGTAGAAGTCTGTGTGTCCCTCCATGGATATGCCTTCCCAGACCATCACTGACCCACCACCAAAATGGTCATGCTGAATGATGTTATAGGCAGCATAACATTCTCCACAGCTTGTCCAGACCCTTTCATGTCTGTCACATGTGCTCAGGGTGAACCTGCTCTCGTCTGTGAGGAGCACAGGGTGCCAGTGGCAGTGAGCACAGGGCCCACTAGAGGCCGTCGGATCTTCAGGCCACCGTCATAAAGTCTGTTTCTGATTGTTTGGTCAGAGACATTCACACCAGTGGCCTGCTGGAGGTCATTTTGTAAGGCTCTGGCAGTGCTCATCCTGTTCCTCCTTGCACAAAGGAGCAGATACCGGTCCTGCTGATGGGTTAGGGACCTTCCACAGACCTGTCCAGCTCTCCCAGATTAACTGCCTGTCTACTGGAAACTCCTCCATGCTCTTGAGACTGTGCTAGAAGACACAGAAAACTTTTTATCAATGGCACGTATTGAAGTGCCATCCTGGAGAAGTTGGACTGCCTCTGTAGCAACCTCTGTAGGGTCCAGGTATCGCCTCATGCTACCAGTAGTGACACTGACCCTAGACAAATGCAAAACTAGTAAATAACAGTCAGAAAAGATGAGTAGAGAAATAATGTCAGTGGCCTCCACCTGTACAACCATTCCTGTTTGGGGGTTGCCTCATTGTTGCCCATCTAGTGCACCTGTTGTTAACCACTTGCCTACCGGGCACTTTCACCCCCTTCCTGCCCAGGCCAATTTTCAGCTTTTAGCGCTGTCGCACTTTGATAATTGAGCGGCCATGCAACACTGTACTCTAATGACATTTTTATCATTATTTGAGACAGAGCTTTTTTTGGTGGTATTTAATCACCTCTTTTGATAAACAAACCAAAATCAACTGAAAATTTGGAGAAAAAAAAGTTATTTTCTTGGTTTCTGTTATAAAATTTTCGAATTAAGTAATTTTTATCCTTCACTGATGTGTGCTAATGAGGCTGCACTGATAGGTAGCACTGATGAGGAGGCACTGGTAGGTGGCATTGACAGGCATCACTGATAGGCAGAACTCATATATGGCACTGATAGGCAGCACTGACTGGCACTAACTGGCAGCACTGATAGGCGGCACTGATAGTGGGCACTGAAAGGCAGCTCAGATGGACACTGATATGTGGCATTGATGGGCACTGACAGGTGACACTGATGGGCTACACTGATCATCAGTGCCCTGATGATCAGTGTACATGTCCCCTCTGAGGAATATCGATTACCGGCTCTCCTCTCCTCACGAGCTGTCAGCGTGACAGCTTGTGAGGAGAGGAATGCTGATAACCGGCATTTCCCTATTTACATGTGATCAGCTGTGATTGGACACAGCTGATCACACGACAGAGCCGACGTCATCGGCTGTCTGCTGATCTGTGATCCGCTGTGTCCCAGGGACATACCACACACCACCGATCGCTGTGCTGCGTGTCCCCCAGGGGTGCGTACGCGTGGTTAGTGGGAGTCCCAGAATGAGAGAACCACCGCCCGTCTGTCATTTCCTTATATGGCGGGCGGGAGGCGGTTAATTTCATTAACATCAAAGCAGCTGAAATTGATTAACAATCTCCTCTGCTACTTAACTGACCAGATCAATATCCCAGGAGTTTGACTCCTTTAATTTTTTGGAGCAGTATATTACGTGGGGGTTCTACATAATATTCTACCAAATACTGATTTTTAGACCTAGTCTTCAAGCGAAACTTCGCCTTCCTCCTTCACATTTGGCACTTTTTGGGGGAGGAGCGGGTACCTTGTTTTGACAGGTACCTGCTCCCTTACTTTCGGCGATCCGAGCAAAAGTTTAGCCCCCCTCCCCCACAGCCTTCTGGGACATAGGTCCAAGAAGAATGTGGGACCATTCAGATAGCAGTGAGCAGCCGGCTGTGAAGCCGCAAGCAGTCACAGCTGGCTGCCCAGTTAGTATGCCAATACCAAAGCATGGTGCAGAAACTGGCTGGGTGAGCACAGTGCTGGATCCCAGGACAGGTGGGTGTCTATTAAAAGTCAGCAGCTACAGTTTTTGTAGCTGTTGACTTAAAGCGAAGTGTCAGTGAAAAAATACAAAATAATAAAAGTCAGCAGCTACAAAAACTGTAGCTGCTGACTTTTAAAGAACAGACACTTACTTGCCCCTCGATCCCGTGGTGCCCCCCTGCAGCCCATTTCACTGACCACCCTGTGTTCCTGGCGCTGGGATCTTCAGTGTGGGCACCCGGCTGTGATAGCTTGCGGCTTCACAGCCGGATTCGCAATGCACAAGTAGCGCTGCTCTTTGTGAATGGTCCCATAGCCTCCTGGGACCAGGGTGGACTGACCATTTGGAGGGCCCGGGGTCAGTAGGGGGCCCCATGAGATGCCCCTGGTACCTTTTTCATAGGCTTTTTTGAATTTGGACACAGGGGCCCCATGATCCCCTATTGCCCGGGGGCCCCACGAGTTGTCAGTCCGCCCCTGCCCCATGCCCCTCGGACCTGTCTAGTGTCCCAGAAGCCTACGAGGAGGGAGGGGGGAGGACTTCTGCTTCCGATCGTCAACTCTAGCTGATTGCAGTGGAAGTGGGAGCGGGTACCTGTCAATTTCAAGTACCCGCTCCCCAAAGATGCCAATCTTTAACAGGAATTGGGGGACCAGTCCTTAAGCTGAACTTCCCATTTGGGTTGAGCTCTGCCTTAATTTCTCAACACACGACTGAAGAACAGCTCTAATCCCTTAGTGCAGACACTGCTCTCCTCCACTCTGCACACCAGCTAGGACTTCTCACACCCGCCATAGGCACTTCTCCAACTTTCCACTGGAACAAATATAGACCAAGCGCCCATAGACTTCTGCATAAAGTCCATCTAGTGGGAGGGAGGAGCTCCACTTCCTGTACTGACACCTCCCCGCCCTCACCAACACAGCCAGCCCCGCCCAGCTCTCCGGCCATGCCGCTGACGTCAGTCAGAGGAAAGGCGAATACTGCGCCGCCGCATCTCTCCAGCCAATGGAATCCGCTTGAACGCGGGGCCTCGTCATCGGCGGCCAATAGCAGCGCGGATCTGGTGGTGCTTGGTGAGCCGAGCCTGGGTGCCTACCGGGTTGTGTTTATTGTTGTTGTTTAGGGTGGCGGGTCGCTGTGTGCTCCGGTGGGGAGCCGGGAAAGCGGGGCGAGGCTGAGGGGGGAGAAGAATGGCAGCGCAGGGCGCCGAGAAAAACAGCAGCAAGAAGAAGACCGAGAAGAAATTCGCCGCCCGGGAGGAAGCCAAACTGCTGGCCAGTTTTATGGGAGTCATGAATGTCATGAGGAAGCAGGTAACCTTTAGGAAGGGGGCGCTGTTCTGTTGAGGCCTGTCTATGGGGTCATCCCATCAATGGGCCGACACAGGCTCTGTACACACAGCACAGGCTCTGTACGCACAGCACGGGCTCTGTACGCACAGCACGGGCTCTGTACGCACAGCACGGGCTCTGTACCCACAGCACGGGCTCTGTACCACAGCACGGGCTCTGTACCCACAGCACGGGCTCTGTACGCACAGCACGGCTCTGTACGCACAGCACGGGCTCTGTACCACAGCACGGGCTCTGTACCACAGCACGGGCTCTGTACGCACAGCACGGGCTCTGTACCCACAGCACGGGCTCTGTACCCACGCACGGGCACCCACAGCACGGGCTCTGTACCCACAGCACGGGCTCTGTACCCACAGCACAGGCTCTGTACACACAGCACAGCTGCTCAATGGTAGGCTGATACCTGTGTTCACTCTTCCCTGTCATGTCTTGTCTGGTAGTAGAAGGCAGGTTCCCATGTCCCTCTGTACAGTCCAATGACACTTAGTCACCTCCCACAGCACACATACAGTGGGGCTGGTGCCGCAAATTATCAATGAAAACGCCCCACTTTGTATGTGGGGGGGTGGTTGCTGTATTTCCTGAAAAGCAGCACCCCGCCACATACACACTGGGTTATTTATTGGTAATTTACAGCAGAAAAATGAATCTGCTACCTTAAAGTGAATGAAGGGAAAAAAATATAAAAATAACAAATATGTTATACTTACTTGATCCTCCTATTCTCAGGTCCCCTCCCCCTGGCTTCTCTGGCTCCTCCCCCTCCAAGTGCCCCCATAGCTAGCCGCTTTGTATGGCAGCACTCCTGCAGGCTCAATCCTGAGCCGCGCTCTGTTAGGGATCCCTCAAAATTTCGCCAGCTGAAACATATCGGCTGTGAATAGCCCTGTCGGCTTTTTTTGCCGATACAGGGGGCTTTGTGTACTGCAGATGTGGGGGGGGGAGGTATTTAATAGGCAGTAGAGGAGCAGTGTATCCAGTGAGCTACCGCTAAATGTCACTTCTGTTTTTTAAATGTAATTACTGCTTTTTTTCCCCTGCACTATATCTCCAAGAAGGAGCTGTCATTCTCCCTGCTGCTAAAGGAAACAGGGGCGGAGTCACTGTGTAATGTCACTTGGTGACTCCACCCCTTTGTTTCCTTTAGTGGCAGGGAGAATGACAGCTCCTTCTTGGAGCTATACTGAAGTAAGTACATTTAAAAACCTGCAGTGACATAAAGTGCCAGCCAACGAGGGAACCTGAGTGTTTACACTGCTCCTCTAATGCCCCCACCCCCTTACAAAGAGGACCTGTCACTCATATAATATCACATAGGGGACTATTGGTCCCCTATGTGATAGCAATAAAATCATAAGTTTAAAAAATAAAAAATACACATTATTATTATTATTATTATACAGTATTTATAAAGCGCCAATAGTTCGCTCAGCACTGTACATTACAAAGGGGGACAGAACATGTGACAGAACAACAACAATACAATGCAAAACATGAGGGGATTGAGGGCCCTGCTCTTTCGAGCTTACAATCTAGGACATTAAAGTAAAAAGAATGAAAAAAAAAATTTGAGCCTCCCCACATACGCAGACATTTTGGTTTCGGTTTTCGGCCACGTGCATTCTGAATTTTCGGTATCCGCATCAGAATTTTCATTACGGTGCACCACTACTCTGTGTGTCCATAGACACACAAACTGCAGCTCGGCCACACCCCCCCCACCCCACCCCACCCCACTCCTCCTGACAGAAGCAGGAGCCAACGGCACCCACTGCTGTGTCTGAGCCAATGAGGAAGGATAAAGCCACTGCTCTCAGGCACAGCACTGGATTGAGATCATGGTCAGGTAAGTATAAGGGGGGGGACCTGGAGGGATCGCTTCATCCACTAACTACTTCAGCTCTGGAAGGCTTTATTCCCTTCATGACCGGGCCATTTTTTTGCTATACTGCACTGTGCTACTTTGACTGGTAACTGCACGGTCATGCAACGTTGTACCCAAATGAAATTTGTAACATTGTTTTCACACAAATAGAGCTGTCTTTTGGTGGTATTTGATCACCATTGGGATTTTTATTTAAACAAGGCCGAAAATAAAAAAAACAATATATATTTTTACTGCTGCAAAACATTAAAAAAAAATGGCCACTACCCCAGTCTATAACTGGCCTTCACAACAAGGAGCACATGAAAGGGCAACACATGTCAAACAACAAAAGAGAAAAATTCCCAGCTCAACTTACCAACCAGCCTTCAAACAAACCGAATTCACCTGTCTAACAGTATGCGTTAAAAACAGGGGTTTAGTTATTAGTTAGCACACATTTGCAAATACATGCGTAAGCTACAGAGCCTCGTCACGGCACCCCGATATTCTGTAGTCCTAACTCTACAAATTTTGAGAGCCCCCATAGTAGAGGCACATGTATTTAATGGATAGACCAAGGGCAGGTAGCTCTGATGAAGAAGGGACACCCTTCGAAACGCATCAGCTGTTCCCTGAGTGTCCACCCCTATGATGGGACTCGCGCAGGTTTTACCATTCCATAGTTCCTCTGAGAACTTACATGCTTGAAATACTTATATATACGTATATTTTTGTATTCAATAAAATTTGGTTTACCGAGGTAATGCGCAAGGTTGGTGCGCTTCTTCTTTGTTTTTGCTTCACACCAAGGGCAAGTGGACCTGAGGGAGGCCACCCCTCCTTAAAGGTATATTGAGTGCACTGGACACCCAGCATATAGCACAATGCACCCCCTCACCAACAATTCAACAGTACAATAAAAAATTTTTAAATCTAATTTCTTCATAAATTTTGGCCAAAATGTATTCTGCTACAAGTCTTTGATTAAACAAAAATCCCAATAAGTGTATATTGTTTGGTTTGCATGAAAGTTAAAGAGCGTCTACAAACTAATGTTTATATATACTTTGATTTTTTTTTTTAATAATGCTAATGGTGATCAGTAACTTATATTGGGTGTGGGGGGGGGTGCAATCTAACACAAACGTACACTGACTGCCACAGACATCACCAGCAACATTAATACACTGATCAGTGATAATACTGTACACTGTCACTGCACTGTACTAATTACACTGGCTTGGAAGGGGTTAACATCTAGGGCAATCAGGGGTTAAAATGTGTGTCTAACTATGTATGATTTGTGTACAGTGTGCTGCTTATACTAACCGATCTCTAAGCTTCTCATCCCTGAATTGCAGGGATAAGAAAACTGACAGATTGCTCCCTCTGTACAGAGCTCTGTGTTGTTACCAACACAAAGTTCTGGGCTGTGATTGCAGCAAGCCGATCAGCAGCTTCTGACCATAAATCATTGGCCGGACTTGCTGACAGGCTCCCGCTTTGTACAATCACGTTGGGTGCTAGTGGGGTGGGGGGGGCACGCTCCCGAAACCCGGAAGTAGGCAGCGATGTACATGTTGCTTTGCCTACAACGGCCGTAAACTGGTTAAGGGTTGGTTCACCTTTACTGAAAAAAAAGTCCTTTACCAATAAGGGGTGTCTGTAGATAAAAACAAGCTGTGCAGCTTTCACTAAAGTTGAATAAAGCCCTTGCTATAGATGTGGGTTATTTACATACCTCATGTAGCCTGACTGGAAACCGTCTAGGATGTTGCTAAGAGAGGCCAAGCTGTTACTTTTCACTTTCACCATCAAAGCAGTGAGATCTCAAACACTGAGCTCAGAGCTACTGCATCAGGGGGGAGAGAGAGTGCATATAAGCTCATTAGGTAGTTTTTTGGTAAAGGGTAACTATGCTGTTAAAGCGGAAGTCAAGTCTTCATTTAAAAATTGCGAGTAGGCAGGCTCTTTATGGCAGAAGAAACATACCTGCCTGTTCAGGTATCTGTAGAATGTACACGGAGCTGTGTATGTGCAGCTTAGTTTGGATTCTGGCACAGTGTCTGTGTGCTGGGATGACTGTATTCCTGTGAATGTGTGGGAGTGACCTCATCCCACAATGGCCAAGAAAGATGACTGATGACTGGCATCCTGAAGAAGGAGAGAAGATGCCAGCGTGGGACCCTGGACCGATGAAGCAAAGGTAAGGATTGGGACTTTATTTCCGCTTTATTCTCCAAAACAATAATGTAATATATTACACTTTACTAATCCTAATCCTTCCCATTCACACGTGAGCATTTTGTGATCACACATTTTATTCGGTGGCAACTATTGATGAATATGAAGATAATTTCAGGTAATACTTTGAAAGTCTCAGTATTTCTTCTGGTTGTCTGGTTTATAAATGGAGGGATGTGATACCTACAGATTAAACCAGGCCTTTCATATGGTTATATAGGGGCATTTTGGTGAATTTTGTTTTTTCAGTTTTGAATAAACTGCTGTGGAATGCACAGTTGGATTATAGATGGAATTTGTCTCATGAGACAGTTCTGGTGTATAAACAGGCACAGTTATGCTGATAAGTTAAAAAATGTTAATATTAGCCCTGGTGTACAAAATGTTAACCACACCTAGAGAGACCTCAACTTCTGGAACCAAAATCATTTGGAGTGATTAGACCATACTGAATTTGATGTTCACAACCATACAGTAAACTGTGTTTGGAGAGGATGTTACGGATCTGCCAGGTGGTGGCACCTCTGGCAGCCCACTAGGCGGAATCACCCGGAGCGTGGGGTCTAAGTAAAACAGAAAAATGACAATACGGTAGTAGAAGTAGTAAAACATGAAAATCTTGTGACGCGTACTGACAGTTTATAGTATGCGCAGTTATGCTGATAAGTTAAAAAACATGTTAATATTAGCCCTTTTGCTGCACTAACGCTACAAAATGTTAACAACACCTAGAGAGACCTCAACTTCTGGAACCAAATCATTTGGAGTGATTAGACCATACTGAATTTGATGTTCACAACCATACAGTAAACTGTGTTTGGAGAGGAGTCAGCGAGGTCTGTGAAGAGAAAGCATACTATACCAACTGTGAAGCATGGAAGTGAATCTCTGGTGTTTGAGGGCATGTGAACCTCTAAGAGAAGATGTGAAACCTGCTATTCATGGTGGACAACCAAAGATTTTACAGGGCCTAGAGGCTTTTGTCAAGAAAAATCTGCACCTTTGCCACATGAAAAAATCCAAATCCTAATTCACAACTGTCACATAATACTGCAAGCTGTCATTGATGCTAAAGGGGGCAGTATGCAAATTTTGAACAAAACTATTTTATTATCCTTGTGTTTGTTTAATGATTGTGTTATGTGATTCCTAATAGTTGCATTTGAATTGCATTAAAAATAAAGAATTGTTTGGTTAGATTTTATGTTTTCTTTAAAATAGTTCACATTTTACAGATTTTCTCAGGGTATGTAATCATATGAGCTCAACTCTATATATTGTTTTGTGCAATCCTGAAATGTCACATGAACAGGCTGTCCTTCCGGCTTTTGTTTTTTCTTCCATTCATCTAATAGAGCTTCACTTGCTTTGCCCTCCCAAAGGAAGTAGAGTGCAAAGCACATTTGTAAATGCCATTGTTTTGTTTTTTTTGTAAAAGTACAACTCTGGGGGGAAACAACCCTTCCTTTGCAAGGGTTAAAGGTAAAGGGAGGGTTATAACCCCTGTCAGATTTTTTTTTTCTCACTGTGTCCCATTTTGGAGATTTCTCTGCACGTGTTGTCCTATAGCCAAACAGGAAGTGAGAGGAAATCCTCGCAAATTAGGGGAATTCCTTGGGGACTCCCAGGTCACTAGAACCAATGTCCCCATTGGAAGATTTCCCCTCTATTACTTTTCTGGGGACAACTCAAAATTTTTAATATTTTCGACTTTCGTTTTCAATTGTAATGGTAAATAGAACAAATAGAGATGATGAATCTCCTTAACAGGGGCACAGACAGCAATAAAAGCCTAATATGTGTTCTAATCCCTCTCTACTATGACCAAAACTAAAAAAAACAAAACGTTTGCCTTTTAGTTATACTTTAAATGTTTGTTTAAGTCTGAGGTATCTCAAAAACTGTTTTTACTTATCCAATCCTCCTCCACAGGTTTCCTCCAGGCTACTACACCAGTGGCCGCAGTTTTTTCTCCCGTATGCGCCAGTGGTCACATGCCCTCTGACATCATCAAGTACAATGCAGGGCCCATAGTTCTGCATTGGATGTGAGGATGCCAAGGGACAGTCCACAAGCTTGGGAGTAGCAGGAAGTAGTGGTCACCAAAATAGCTGGGATCAGGTAAGTAAAATGCTTTTCCAGAACCCTAGACTTAAACGAGCATTGAACCCTTGCAGTGCAGGGCAGCCCCACTGCAAAGGAGGATTTTTTCCTCTCCCTGAAGATCAGCTTTAATTGCCTCTCCGCCCACATATAAGAAAATGATGGGCGGTGGCTCTCTCATTCTGGGAGGACATCATATATCGTGCTCCCACTCTTAACTGCGCATGCGCACACCTGGGGGCGCACGGCGATCGGTGGTGTGCTGTGTCCCTGTGACACAGCAGATCACCAATCACCGTAAAGAGCTGATGACACAGGCTTTGTCATGTAATCAGCTCTGTCCAATCACAGCTGATCGCATGTAAACAAGGAAATGCCAATTATCAGCAGTCCTCTCCTCATGCTGACAGCTCGTGAGGAAAGGAGAGGAGAGCCGGTAAGCGGCATTCCTCAGAGGGGACACTGATCTGATGATCAGTGTAGTCCTATTTGTGCTACCTGTCAGTGCCCATCAATGCCACATAGTGCTGCCTGTCAGTGCCCATCAGTGCAGCCTCCTTAGCGCACATTAGTGAAGGAGAAAAAATACTTATTTACAATATTTTATAACAGAAGCTAAGAAACTTTTTTTTTCAAAATTTTCTGTCTTTTTTAGTTTATTTAGCAAAAAAAAAAAAAATAAAACCCAGTAGTGATTAAATGCCACCAAAAGAAAGCTCTATATGTCTCAAAAAAAGGATAAAAAAAAATTGTTTGGGTACAGTGTTGCAGGACTGCACAATTGTCATTCAAAGTGCTACAGCCCTGAAGCTGAAAATTGGCCTGGGCAGAAAGGGGGTAAAAGTGCCCAGTAGGCAAGTGGTTAAAGTATGACTAAAGGCAAAACTTTTTTTTAAGTGTTGGACAGAGTGGAAAGGGTTTAAAAAAAACCCTCTATTTTTCCTGTTTACCATTATCATCCAAAATGAAAGTAATACAAAATCCCAAATTTTGGGTTGTTCCCAGAAAAGTAACAAAGGGGAAATCTTCCAATGGGGACACTAGTCCTAGTTACCTGGGGGTGCCCAAGGAATTCCCTTAATTTGCAGAGATTTTCTCACTTCCTGTATTGGCTATGGAACAGGAATTGAAAGTAAATCTTCCCCAGTGGGACACAGATGGCAAAAAAAAAAAACTGACAGAGGTCATAACCCTTCTGTACGCTATCCAAAATGGAAAAAAATAAACCTTTTGCCTATGGTTTTACTTTCATTGGTGCTATGACTACGCTCATAGTGTAGAAGTTTTATGGATTCATTGTCTACTTTTTCCTCATACTTTCTTACTTTTATTTATGTATTTTAGAAAACTTTGTGTGATGTTATTCTTATGGTGCAAGACAGAAAGATTCCAGCTCACCGGGTAGTTTTGGCAGCTGCCAGTCATTTCTTTAACCTGATGTTTACCAGTAAGTATATTCTGTGTGTATAAATCACTGGGATATTATGGGTGCGTTTTATTAAGAAACACACCACGAATGAATTGTGTGCCTGTTGCCTGCAAACTATGTCTGCTACTCTGGTATCTACACATTTGTAACGGTTATTTTGAATCTCGGTTGCATCATGTAACCTAAGGATTGCAAAACAGTCTGTGATTTTGTGTACAGATTAATGACTGTGCATTAGAATACAATGCACACAGCCTCCTCCTTAAAAAGAAACCAGCTCCCTGTGATATTTTTTTGTTTTCTTCTATCTCCTTTCACCTGCTTTGCTGGGTTATCTTCAATTCACATACTCATATGGCCAACAAACCCAGCGTTGTCCTGCTGAATTTTGCTACACTACACTGCTGCATGCTGGGGCCCACACCATCTTTCCCCTTTTAGTCAGCAGGGACTGGGTGTATATTCTAGATTCAGGTAGCTGGCCCCCTGATGACCAAATCTGCTCTCCTGCATCCCTGCATCTGTCCTCCAGTGCCACATCTGTCCTCCAAACACATGTCCATCCTCCTCCAGCAAAGTGTGTGCCTCAGCTGAAGCCACCTGGGCTTTGTAACATGGATATCCCAGAAGGCTGCAGGCACAGGGCCATATCATTCTTGTCTAGATGAGAATAGAGGCAAGTGTGGACAAAAAAAGAAAAAAAAGTGGAGGAGGAGAAGAATGCAAAGTGGAGATTTTTTTTTTTTTTTTTTTTTATGAGGAGGGAAGGTCTGCTTTAATATTCTACAGGCCTCTGACCTAATATTTGAGCCTTATTCATCATTTGATTATTTGTGGAATACAGCTTTACATTTTTTTTCTACCTTACATGGAGTATTGCACTGCTGTTTACAACACTCAAAATGCAAGAATTCTCTAGAAGCAAAGACTAAGCCCAGTTCACACTAGAACGCGGTGCAGGAAACCCATGATCCATGTGTGTTTTTCTGCACTGCATTCTAAATGCACTGCCCTTGTGATCTGCAGTACAATGTTTTGTTTTTTATTATTATTTAGTTATTTATTTTTAAATATCTTTTAGGTAGGTAACCCAGTACAAAAATATAACAACCCCAGGGATGCCCCAACCCCAGCACTCTTTGTCCTGGCGCTTGAGCCGTTGGCTATGGCGCTCCACACTGATTGTAATGTATCGGGGGTTCCATACGCTGGACAGGAGTACAAGTTGAACCTTTTTGCAGACGATGCCCTCTTGACTCTCACTAAACCCCTTGACGACGCTTCCAAATTTGCAACAGGTTCTTGAGCGCTTCTCCTTGATTTCGGGTCTCTGTATCAATTTGGATAAGACTGTCGCGCTTAATATTACTTTGGCCTCAGATTTGGTTTCGCGCCTACAGTCCCACTTCCCTTATAAATGGGCTTCTTCTTCTCTTGAATACCTAGGCATCCGCTTAACCCCCACCTATGACTCACTGTTTGCTGCAAATTACTATCCATTGCTTCGCTCTGTGTCCTCTCTTATGCATTCTTGGCAATTTCCGCACCTGTCATGGATAGGACGGATTAATTCAGTAAAAATTACCATCTTGCCGAAATTGTTATACTATTTTCGCACCCTCACAGTGCGGGTTCCTCCTCATTTCCTTCGGTTGCTTCAGGTAAAGATTCTGCGTTTTTATCTGGGCCGATAAACGCCCCAGAGTTTCCAGAACTACGCTTTTTGTCCATAGACTCCAGTGTGGCGCTTGGGGTTCCCAATGTTACTAAATATTATCAGGCGAGCCAGATCGCCCCGCTATCTATGTTGCACGCTTCCTCAGACATACCTCTCTGGGTCCTCCTGGAATTACCTAATTGTGCTCCTATTGCGATATCGTAACTTCTATGGCTTCCCCCTGCCCTGCACCCCACGGCACTGAGTCCAATTTTGCTCCATGGCTTACATGTGTGGGGACTCGGTACGTTACTCAAGTGGCCTAATGTCACCTTTTTTGCCTTTGCTCCCAATCACTAACAACCCCCTCTTCCCACCAGGTTTAGATCAACCAAGGGCGTTTTCTTGGTGGGTGACCAATGGTTTTTCACAGGTACAACACTTTTTGACCTCTTGGTTATTCCCTACCTGGAATTCTCTTCGGGAGTCACGGGATGTCCTTCGGCGGAATTTTTTCGTTACCTTCAATTGCGGCATTGGCTGCTCTCATTGCGGGGCACTTCTCTCTTCCTGTACCAGAAATCTGCCTTTGAACTGCTTTGCCAACAGCGTCCGGGCGCCCCAGGCCTTATTTCCCTTCTTTATGCAGCTTTGAATAGACGCTCGTCGCATACTTCTCTTTCATATGTCATTCAGTGGGAGCGCGACCTGGGAGTGGCTGTGGATCCGGGGGACTGGAATAAGGCCTGGTCACTCATAGCTAAATGCTCATTTAATACGACCACGCTGGAGGCAGCTTACAAGGTATTGTTTCGTTGGTATTGGGTTCCGGCTCGTTTGGCACAGGCAAATCCTGCCTGCAGTGATCGATGCTTTCGGGGTTGTAGCCATCATGGTGATGTATTGCATATCTGGTGGTCATGCCCCAGGCTGCTTCGTTTTTGGTCTCGTGTGTTTTGGCCTCCTTTTCACCTTGTTCCATCTCTCTATACAACGGGATGCTCGGTATGCTTTGCTTCATTGTCCCATAACGGGCCTCTTGGCTCATCAGCAGAAGTTGGCTTCCTATTTGTTTTTGTTGGCCTCTAGAACAATTGCTCAGGCCTGGAAGAGCCCGTTTGTCCCTCTTCAGGGGGTGCGGGACGTATGGACGTATGACCACTATGATGCTCAATGAACAGATATTGAGTATCTGCAACGACTCCCCAATGTAAATTCTTGAAAATATGGGAGCCGTGGTTGCAATATACCTTTCCCATGCTCCCCCCGGCTAGTCTGGGGATGTGATGTTGTTCGGCTTTGGCATTCTTGGATCCCTGCTCTTGGTTTGGTTATCTTTTTTCTTTCGTACTTCTCCTTCCTTCCCCCCCCCCCCCCCCCCCCCCCCTTTTTTATATTTTTTTATTTATTTTTTTTTTTTCTGTTTGCTTTTGGTGTGGCAGTGGATAGCTGCCTTTTAGTCTGAGTTATTATCAGTGTTCTATTTATGTTTTGTTATTTAAGTGCCATTGAGAGCCCCTGCGTGGGCGATCTTTTGCCCTGTTGGTGTTAGAGCACTGATTTCTTTAATTTTCTACTTCTTTTATGTGCAGTTGATAGCCCCTGCGTGGGCGTGATTTGTTGCTCCTGTGTTAATTGTTATTAATTAATAAAAACCATTGAAATACAAAAATATAACCTAATATACAACAAAATCACATGTACATAAATCCCATTTTACAACATCTTTTCCCCCACCCAAATACCCCTGTCCAGATCTTGTTTGCTAAGTTCTTACTCCCCTTGTACTTATCTATCTTTTTTTGTGTCCTTTTCCCTCTCACAATCACTCGCTTTCACCCTCTCTATCAAGCTCTCTCTATACTTTTCCCATTAATCTCCAGACCAATTCCGTATATCTTTTAGATGTTTTAAAATCTAGCCAACTACTCCACATTTTCCTAAATTCTTCCATTTTGTCCTCCTCCATTCTAAAGATATTTTCAGCTCTATTCAACCAATCATTTATTCTTGGTGGCTCCTGGGCTTGCCAAAACTTGGGGATCAGGCCCTTAGCCGCACAGATTAAATGATATAATACCCTGTTTTTAAACAATTTGCCTGCGGGCTCATCATAAAATAAACACATCCACGGGTCCATTTGTATGCTGATCCCACTGATTTCCTGGATATAATTAATTATTTCCTTCCAAAAATCCTGTATTTTTGGGCACTCCCACCAAATGTGTGCTATTGTACCCTTTTTCCCACAACCTCTCCAACATGAAAAGGTGAAACATCTACTTACTGTTTGTCTGCTACACTCGGTGTCATCTACCATCTCGCCAAGCATTTATAATTCATTTCTACTGTGCTCATGTTTATCACCTCGTGTGTTCATTTAAATATTTTATTCTTTTGTTGCTCATTCAGTTCTGTTCTAAGCTCCTTTTCCAATTTTTCCAAGAACCCAGGAGGATCGGTTCCTTCCATATCTATCAGGATCTTGTATATCCTGGAGGTGGCTTGTTTCGGAACTGTATTTACATTCAACAGTTTTTCAAATGGGTACATATCCTCCGAGGTCCTCAGTGGTTGTGTGAGCATTGAAACAAAGTGTCCTAATTGACCATACCACCAATCTAATGTGAAAAATATAAATGTGTGAGTTAGCGAGCGCACTAATAAAAAGCTGCTGATGCACAAAAAGGAACCACAAAGCCTTTCTAAGAATATGACATGAAAATAGGGTGTGCAGCGCTATACAAATAAAACACACTGTCTAAAGTATGACAAAATATGACAGAAATGGAAAAATCCCATAAACTGAATGTTAAACAGTCCAAGGTAATATAATATCAGTCCAAAAAGGTATATTCCAGTGATGGAGTATAAATGACTTCAATCCAAATGGGTATATTCCAGCATCCTAACATGAAGGTGTAGAAAAATTGCCCACTCACCGGAAGTGCAATTTAATGTGCACATAGAAATTCCATGAAGCCGGAGGTCCCCTGAAGGTATAGCCTGATGATAAAGGTGCCCTCTGGTGCCCTCAGCCCAGCATTCTAGGAGTCCACCCAGGCAGGAAAATTTGGGATATTGGTCCAGATCAACTTCTCTGGCAGCCGTCACCCCATTCACCACCAGAGGGCACCTTTATCATCAGGCTATACTTTCAGGGGACCTCCGGCTTCATGGAATTTCTATGTGCACATTAAATTGCACTTCCGGTGAGTGGGCAATTTTTCTACACCTTCATGTTAGGATGCTGGAATATACCCATTTGGATTGAAGTCATTTATACTCCATCACTGGAATATACCTTTTTGGACTGATATTATATTACCTTGGACTGTTTAACATTCAGTTTATGGGATTTTTCCATTTCTGTCATATTTTGTCATATTTTAGACAGTGTGTTTTATTTGTATAGCGCTGCACACCCTATTTTCATGTCATAATGTGAAAAATAAATCTTTTATTTTCTTTAACTCTTCATAAGTATGCAATTTCCCCTTATTCAAAATGCCCTTCAAACGTGTATTTTTATATTTAATCCATTTACCAGTGATTATATCCTTCCCTGGAGGAAAATACTCCATACCCTCCAAAAGAGTCAGTAAGGAATTGTATTTTCCATCCAGTAATTTTTTTTAAGTTTGAGCGGTTTTTTTTTTTAGCTACAAGGTACAAAATGCTCGTGTGCATGCAGCCTTAGTACAAGCCTTGCCTGAGCACTGCCAGCCAATCAAAACTAAATCATAACATTGTTTCTTCAACAAGTGCTGGGCCACGCAACATGTTATGCTCAATCAGACTGATAAATGAGTACAGTTTGTTTTCCTGTGATTTTGAGCAGTACAAAATCATAGTGATGTTCTGTCAAGTTTTTCATTAGTTGATAGTTCAGTTCATGAACTCTTAACTCAGGGAAGTCTTTCTCTAAATTATAATTAATAGACATCCCTAAGAATTATTAGTATTTTTTCCTTTAAAAGCAGATATACAGTATATTGCAATCTCCTTTTATTCCTATTTAGGTCTATTAATGAAAAAAGTAGTTGTAGCATCCAAATACATAAGATCCTTTTTCAGTAAATAGACCATCTGGTGCTCTGTGAAAGAACAGCCTCTGTGGCAGAAGTGTGTACACATGGATTTCTTGAATATCGGTATTAAATTTGCATTTTTATGTGTGTTTTTTTTTTTTTCCATAGCCAACATGATTGAGTCTAAATCTTTCGAAGTAGAACTTAAGGATGCAGAGCCAGACATCATAGAGCAGCTGGTGGAGTTTGCATACACTGCAAGGTATTAATCATATCTTTTTATCTTTTACTGCCTTGTTTGCTTGTTTCTTCCAATAAGTTGTTTGTGTATTTGCTAATACAGATGATGATATTTAAGCAAGAACTGCAAACACTTAGGGCTTGTTCACACCAACAACAACACTGAATGCACATGCACTGGGAGGAACAATGCCTATGTACATTGCACAGTTAACGTTTTTTTTCTTTTAGGACTTTATTGAAATGTCTCAAATGACATTTCATTCAATTCTTTTCATCGAGCGACGTTTCAGGGTGGATTGCACAACACGCCCTTCTGAAATAAAATACTGCATGCAGTACTTATTTTCAGTGTGCATCACTGCAATGTGATGGTCTGAGCTGACTAAATGGCAAACAAGGCAAATTGCTTTATTTTTGCATTTTGGACTGTGCTGGGCAAGGATACCCAGCACAGCCTAATGCAAATGGTGTGCACAGGCCTTAAGCCTGGATTCACAGTGTTTTTTGAGTGTTGCAGTGTGAATAAGCATATATAGTTTTCCTTTCAAATTAGCCCCTTACGCAATAAAGAGACTACTACTTGTAATGTTTGGCATGCAGCAAAATACCTGAGTTTTCTTGCTTGAAAACAGCCTGAAAAACATTGTGTGAATTGGCCCTAAATGCACATTTTAAATTTTTGTTGTGGCCCCACTGCCTCTCTCCTGACCTAAACTATGCTGCCCTCCCCAGATGTATGCCTATCCCGATGCTGTGACCTCTGACATTTGTTTACATCCATTCCAAACTTCTGTGTGCTTCAATCATCTGCACAGTGGGCTCTCATAGACATTTATGGGACAGTCTACTGAAAATCTTTGGTGTTGGAAAATGGTTGCAAGTATCTGAGATGCTACTTGGTAGTTCAGTTCACATTAGTGCATCTGTCACCTTTTTTCTTTTACTACAAAATCTGGTTCTGAAATTGTAAAATTCAATATTTTTAATTATTAAAAGTTGCTGTGTTCATACTCTTTTGTAATGTGTTGTAATGTTTTTGTTGTTTTTTTGTTGTTTTTTTTTAAGAATTTCAGTAAATAGCAACAATGTACAATCCCTTTTGGATGCAGCTAATCAATACCAAATCGAGCCTGTCAAAAGAATGTGTGTTGACTTTCTTAAAGAGCAGGTGGATGCATCAAACTGCCTAGGTAAGATGGAAATCTTTATAAAGGTGTAAGAAAGGACGCAAAGTCACTAAAAGACAATAAATTTGCCCTCCACTAGTGTAGTGACTGCTAAAGTATTTCCTTCAGACTGGAAGAGAAGTCCCTAAACATGGAATTGTGCTTTAGAGCAGGGGTCTCATAACTTTCTAAACAAAGAGCCAGTTTACTTTCCTTAAGGCTTTGGGGGGCCGGACACTGGCTAGTGGGAGTAGAAAATGCCCCAGCAACAGTGGGCATAACAATGTCCCATCATTGGCTTTAATAGGGGGAATAAGTCCCCATTGCCGGTATCAGTGGGAAGAATGGTGTCATACACAGTTTCAGTGGGAGGAATGGTGTCCCATCATTGGTGTCAGTTGGTAAAATAGTGCCCCAAGAGCCAGATATATGCAAACAAAGGGCCATATCTGGCCCCTGGCTGCAGTTTGGAGACCACTGCTTTAGAGCTTGGCATCTCCCCACCTGGCCTAATACAAATTAGAATCAAATTACTGAGAATTTTTATTTATTTCATGATAATCATTAATGTTCCATTTCCAAACATAAATTACTTTATTGGAGTAGAGTCCTTTAAAAAAAAATAAAAAATTCTTCCTACTTTATGGACATTTAACTGTTTAAAAGGCTTATTTTCTCACTAATTGCTATTTTATCACCCTCAAAACAGATATTTTTTTTCCTGCTCTTTCACAGTCAAAATAGCTAAACAAAATAATGATAGAATACTGCACTTGTGGAATTTTAATTTGATCTGCATAGTAATGCATTTAGTATATTAGAAAAATTTGTATTTTCAACTTGAACTGTGAGCTTCACTCAGAAGCTGTATCACTGGTAGCATTCCGTAACTGGGTCTGAATGCTAAGCTGGTGCCACCAATAGATAGTGATTGGGTTATTGTGGAAATTCTTCATGGAAATGCTTGAAAAGATAGGTCAACCCAAAATTGATAATATAGGTGGGCTTTGGGACAGTCTTTCTAGCCAGCTTGATTTGGGAGTAGAAATCTTATAACTCAGCTGCTGAAATACACTTTTTTTTCTTTTAAGTAATTTTTTTCATTGTGCTTATAGGCATTAGTGTGCTGGCAGAATGTCTTGATTGCCCAGAGCTCAAAGCCACAGCAGATGACTTTATTCATCAGCATTTCACTGAAGTTTACAAGACGGACGAGTTTCTACAGCTTGATGTGAAACGTGTCACCCACCTTTTGAACCAAGACACTCTGACCGTCCGTGCTGAAGACCAGGTATTGCTGTATTTTACAATGTGTATTTATAGCAAAATCTTCTCAGTGTCGCTAGGGCTGCGTTTTGTGTGATTGCTGAGGCTTCCTGCATTTTCTGCTGTGAGAAATGTCCCTCAGCACTGAGCCTCTGTGAGGCCAGATGTGGTGTTTTGTTTTTTTTTTTTTTTTTTTTTTTTCACTTTTTCTTGAAACCACTAAGCACAGTCACTATACAAAGTGGTAAATGTAATGCATGTTGCCTGTACTGCAGGACTGGAATGTAAATGTTCTCTGTGTACTTTTTTTTTCTAAAATTATTTGTGCATTTGTTAGGTTTATGATGCGGCTGTGCGGTGGTTGAAGTATGATGAACCAAATCGACAACCATACATGGTAGACATCCTTGCTAAAGTCAGATTTCCTCTAATCTCCAAGAACTTTCTAAGTAAGACAGTGCAGGCTGAGCCTTTGATACAAGACAATCCAGAATGCCTGAAGATGGTGATCAGTAAGTGAGCACTTCACTGTTGTAATAGTTCTCTAAGACTGTGTAGTCAGCCAAGGGCCGTCGTATCTTTTTCTGATCTTTCTTTAACATGACCGACACATAAACTTGTACATTTATCCTACCAGCATCTGTGACAGTTCACTTTTGTGGATGAAAAGTCCAATCTGAGAGTATTTTCACCTGTTAAGGAGTTTTTTCCTGATTATCAGGCCAATTTTAGTGTGACTGAACAACAGTCATCGTAAATTACTGTTTTTGCCATTTACTGATGAAAAGATAATGGTAAAAGTATATTGTTTTACCAAATCCCCTTTAAAAGTAAAGAAAATAACATCACGTCCAGCAACATAAAGTAAAGAAAATAACATCACTTCCAGCAACAAGGCTTTAATTCCTAATTTTAGGACAGTGGTTACAGCCATTCACATCATTCATTTAGGAGTCAATTGTGCATATACAGTAGTTCTGCACAAGTATAGCCCTAAACTCTAGGGCATTTTGGCTCATGTTGGGCTAGCTCTCCATAAGGTTTTTAGCTGTTGTGCTTATTGTCATAATGAAGTGAGACCATTTTCAGTTTGTCACTTTTTGCCTGTATTCTCTGTATATATACAGTGTACATATACTTCTGCCTGAACAGTAGAGTCCGCACTCCTAGCCCTAGACGTTTATGGATTGTATTTCTGTTTGTTTCCCTGTGTCTTATAGGTGGAATGCGCTATCACCTTCTCTCTCCAGAAGATAGGGAAGAGCTTGTTGATGGCACAAGGCCACGGAGAAAGAAACATGATTATCGGATCGCTTTATTTGGCGGCTCACAGCCTCAATCCTGTAGATACTTTAACCCAAAAGTATGTACTGACTATAGTTGCTTCTCAAGTTTAAAAAATGTGGTCCTTTTTACTCTACAATGTTTTGATATCCGATAGCCCAGTATACATATAGCAAACCATTAAAAGCTTCCATTACATCTGTGGAACTCAACTTTTAGTAGTTGTGACCTGCTTACCAATCACACTGGCATGAGGATATCATAAAAATTAGGTTTGTGCTTGCAGAAGAGTTGTAATGTTTGTAATATTATATGGGTTTCAGTGTGGCCAGATAACTGAAATGCAGGCAAAATATCAGATTCACTTAATAGCCCCCCAACCTCGCTGTCCTGTTTTGACCACTGAAGCTGAGTAGAAAAATCTGTGGATAAATCGCAAGTTGTTCTGGTCAGAGCCAGCACAAGGCTAATTAGCTCTCCTGGTCCTGACAGATAGTGCTTTAACCTGGGTATTGGTCATTCCCTTTTACTAGTTGCTTTATCATTGACTCTAGTGGAGAGAGTTGCGTGCTTCTCAACTTCACTTAAACCAGTTAACGGAGTGAGCATGGAAGGAAAGTATAAGTGGTGAGGGAATAGTGCATTCAAGTGGAATTGCAGCTTACTCTTAGCTAACCTTAAAATTGTCCCCTCCCTCCTCCTAACACTTATGCTAAGTAAACTGTGTATGAGAGATGTACAGCCCTGGCCAAACTTTTTGAGAATGACACACATATTATTTTCGCAAAGTCTGCTGTCTCAGTTTTGATGATGGCAATTTGCATATACTCCAAAATGTTATAAAGAGTGATCAGATGAATTGCAATTAATTGCAAAGTCCCTTTTTGCCATGAAAATTAACTTCATGCCCAAAAAAAACATTTCCACTGCATTTCAGCCCTGCCACAAAAGGATCAGCTGACATCATGTCAGTGATTCTCTCCTTAACATAGATGTGAGTGTTGACGAAGAGTTAGAATAACAGACTGGAACCTTTTAAAATGAGGGTGGTGCTTGAAATTATTGTTCTTCCTCTGTGAACCATTGTTACCTGCAAGGAAACACGTACAGTCATCATTGCTTTGCACAAAAAAGGAATCCCGGGCAAGGATATTGCTGCTACTAAGATTGCACCTAAATCAACCACTTATCAGATCATAAAGAACTTCAAGGAGAGAGATTCAGTTGTTTTGAAGAAGGCTTCAGGGCGCCCAAGAAAGTCCAGCAAGCTCCAGGACGTCTCCTAAAGTTGATTCTGCTGCGGGATCAGAGCACCACCAGGCAGGTGTGAAAAACACCAGGGACACTGATATTCTGCGAAAGGTACAGTGATTAGACTGCTGAGGACTGGGGTAAAAAAATTTCTCTGATGAAGCCCCTTTGCAGTTGTTTACGGCATCTGAAAAAAACCTTGTCCAGAGAAGAAAAGGTGAGCGCGGCCATCAGTCCTGTGTCATGCCAACAGTAAAGCATCCTGAGACCATTCATGTGTGGGGTTGCTTCTCAGCCAAGGGAGTGGGCTCACACAATTTTGCCTCAGAACACAGCCATGAATAAAGAATGGTACAAAAACATCCTCCGAGAGCAACTTCTCCCAACCATTCAAGAACAGTTTGGTGACGACAATGCCTTTTCTAGCATGATAAAGCACCTTGCCATAAGGAAAAAGTGATAAGTGGCTTGAGGAAAAAAAACATCGCAGTTTTGGGTCCATGGCCAGGAAACTCTCCAGACCTTAATCCCATTGAGAACTTGTGGTCAATCCTCAAGAGGTGGGTGAACACAGGGATGTGCAATTCCTATCGCCCGACGCCCGGGACATGTAGTTCCGGGCAGGTAGGTTTTTTTTTTTTTTTTTTTTTTTTTTTTTTCTTGCCTTCAGCCCTGCTGCGAGCAAGCAGCAGGGCTCACCTGTCAGGTGGAAGTGCTGCCGCCCGATTGCTTTCACACAGCCCACAGTGTCAGCCTCTCCCTTCTGCCTGCTATATGTCCCGTGCTCTGCTTGCCCGTCTGCAGGACCAGGACTGGCTCAGTGTGCGCCAGCGGGATGTGGTATAGGGGAGGGAGGAGAGCAGACACATCCATTCCCCTCCCCTTTTTCTCCTGATTCGGAAGTGATCTGTTTTGACATATTCCCGGTCATTGTGGCCGGGAAAGAATGCAATGCGGTGCATATTCCACTGCATTACATTCAGGGGATTTTTAGACCCTAGATGTCTCAAAAAAGAGAACCTGTTACCAAAAAATCATCACATAGGGGACTTTTTCTTATTATTTTAAATGGAAGTTACACCCAAGCATATAATCTCCCCCACCCCAAAATTCTTTCAAGACCCCCCACACACACACACACACACGCAAAAGCAAAAGCACGTGCTCGGGCGCCTACACATGAAAATGTCAATTGCTATGTCATATCGCCTGAATGAGAGCAATAATGCTAGCACCAGACCTCCTCCGTAACACTAACCGATGACCTAGAAGGGGCTTTTAAAGCCCCACCTATAGAAAATATAGGGCACTAACGTTTGTTGCCATTTCACGGATGCACGCAATTTTAAGGTTTGACATGTTAGATATCGATTTACTCGATGCAGCCTCGCCTTTTATATTTTACAAAAAATTTGATAATTTATTGCTTTTTGTGCCCTAATATTAACTTATGTGTATTTTTTACTGAAATGTTGCATTTCCTAGACCTGTGATAATATTGTGTGACATAAAAAAATTGGAACTACCGCTATTTTATTCTCCAGGGTCTTTGCTTTCAGAAAATATATCCTATCATGTTTTGGAGTTTTATGTCATCTTCAGGCCTTAAATTATTTTGTAAACGTGCAAATAACACAAAAACGGCTCTGGCAGCAAAAGGGATAAAGGATAAGCCCAACACTCCCCTTTACTGAGGAGCAGCCAATCGGTGCTCATTACACTGCAAGGTCTCTCTCCTCCCTGCTAGTCCCTGGGTGCGGTTCTAGAGACAGGAAGGGAAGGGAGGAGGAGATGAACAGCGCAATGTTAAAAAAATTAAACGGTTAAGTCGCCATAAAGCCCCTTTTGTTTTTAATAGCCCCATACATTACTTAAAGCAGATTTAAATACGGTTTTGGTTAAAAAGTTGTTTTTTTTTTTTTATTAAGACAAGTAGATTGTCATGAGGGACAAGTAGATTGGGGCACCAATTTTGTTCCTGGACAAGTAGTGTTTTAAAAAAATGTCCACACCCCTGAAACAACCCCCCCCCCCCCCCCCCCCCACACAAATTCTGTCAAAATCCCAGCATTGATGATGCAAGAATAGGCTGCCAACTGTCAGGATGTGGTCCACAAGTTGACTGACAGCATACCAGGGCGATTTACAGAGGTCTTGAAAAAGAAGGGTCAACACTGCAAATATTGACTCTTTGCATAGACTTAATATAATTGTCAATAAAATCCTTTGACACCTATGAAATGCTTGTAATTATACTTCAGGATACCATAGTAACATTTGACAAAAAGATCTAAAAAACACTGAAGCAGCAGACTGAAAATGAATATTTGTGTTATTCTCAAACTTTTGACCAGGGCTGTATATACTTGCCTATTTTCAGGTCGCACTGGTCCAGTCACGTGATTCGGCTCTCCTGTGTGCAGTGCAGTTCAGCTGCAGGGGAGTGGAGGGAGTGCCGACAATGGATGGGTCATTGAAGCGTATGAATGACATCACTGCTGCAGGTTTTGAACACCGTTGCCACAGAGCTCTTTCCTGTCCCCTGTAGCCTCTTCTGGCTGCCACGGGGTAGCACTTGACTGGAACGGAGCAGCCTGAAAATAGGAAAGTATAAACATCTTTCTTAGATGGGTTAGTTAGCTAGCATAAGTGATAGGAGAGGGAAGTGGTCCGATTTTAGGACTAATTGGTGTGTAAGCTGGAATTCCACTTAACCACTTGCCTACCAGGCACTTATACCCCCTTCCTTACCAGGCCAATTTTCAGCTTTCAGCGCTGCCGCACTTTGATTGACAATTGCGCGGTCATGCAACATTGTACCCATATGAAATTTTGATCATTTTTTTCTCACAAATAGAGCTTTCTTTTGGTGGTATTTAATTGCCACTGGGCGCTTTACTTTTTGCGCTATAAATAAAAAAGTGCAAAAAATTTGAAAAAAAAAAAAATTTTCTTTGTTTCTATTATAAAATTTTTCAAACAGGTATTTTTTCTCCTTCACTGATGTGCGTTGATGAGGCAGCACTGATGGGCACTGATAGGCGGCACTGATGGGCACTGATAGGCAGCACTAAAGGGCACTGATAGGCAGTACTAATGAGGTGGCACGGATAGGCGGCACTAATATGCAGCACTGATAGGCGGCACTGATAGGTGACACTGATGATGGGTACTGATAGACTGCACTGACTGGCATCATCACTGCTGGGCACTGACTGGCAACCCCTGGGCACTGACTGGCACTGACTGGCACACCCCTGGGCACTGACTGGTGGCACTGGTGGGCAGCACTGGTGGGTGGGCACAGGTGGGTGGCACTGGTGGGCACAGGTGGGTGGGCACAGGTGGGTGGCACTTCTGGGCACAGGTAGGTGGCACTTCTGGGCACAGGTGTGTGACACTGCAGAGTGGCACAGGTGGGTGCACTGCTGGGCACAGGTGGGTGATCTGCTGGGCACAGGTGGGCGGAGATAGTGGGCGCACTGCTGGGCACAGGTGGGCGGAACTTGCGGGTGGCACTGCTGGGCACCGATCATCAGGGCACTGATCATCAGTGTCCTGATGATTGGTGCCGATCCCCGCTGTGACAACTGCCGGTTCTCAGCAGTACTGTCCTCACGATCTGACAGCGTGAGGAAAGTGCAGCCGAGAACCGGCACTTGCATTTCCCTGTGATCAGCGTGTCATTGGACACCGCTGATCACGTGGTAAAAGGCCGCTGGGATCGGCCTTTTACCACATCACGTGATCAGCTGTGTCCGTCTGGGGCGCGCAGGAGAGCGCGTTCTGGGGGGACGTCATATGACATCCACCCAGAACTGGCCGGCCGCAGTGAAGCCGTCATTCGGCTATCTGCGGTCGGCTACTAGTTAAAATGCATCTCTCACTTAAATGGCTTGAATCCTTTTTGCCGCTTGGCCTGCACATCCCTATCAAGTATGTATATTAGCCAATGTTTTCAAATCGTTACTTGTCAATACATGGCCTGCAACTAAGAGGTGATTGGTTGCGAATTATACTTTTCGAGTCTCACCGGCGTTGGGTCACCTTTATGATAGCTGTAGTAGCATTCACTGTGCACAAAAGATTGGAATGTTTAGGTTGTACCCATTGAACCAAAACAAGTTACCCCATGATTAAAGGTCCATGCACACTAGGTAGCTGAAAAAATTCCTAACCTCCAGCAGAAAAAGCAGCAGAAAAAACGTTCATAGTGGCTTGTATTGTACAAACGTTTTATGTGCATATAGGGGGCATTTGCTTTTATAAGGGTTTTTTTTTTTCGTAAAACATTCCCCTCTGCTCATTTTCAATGTACACTTGAAAAGAGCTAAACCCCGCGCTTAGGCGTGGCAAGTATTTTTTTTCTGCCTGAAAAGCTCCTCTCAAAAACGCACTTGTGATGGTGTTTTGTTTTGTTTTTCTGCAAATATTTCTGTAAATACCCAAATGTGCATGGAGAAATAGGCTGAGATCGAGCTGCTTATACAGGCTGAAGAAAAAAAAATGGTAAAAGCCTGTATAAGCAGCATTAGTAATGCCCAGTGTGGGTAAGGCCTTAAAAGTTAGCCATTGTTTTTGTTAGTTTACAGATCTGGGAACTCCTCTAAAAGTAGTTATTCTCTTTATGTTAGTTTGTATTTATTGATTTATTTCATAGTATTTTATTTACTTTTTGTATTTTGCTTTTTTTACCATTTGCATTGACAATTTATTAAGCCACATTGTTCACTTGTATACTTTATTTTGGCAGGATTATAACTGGACAGATATCCGATGTCCATTTGAGAAGCGCAGGGATGCAGCTTGTGTGTTCTGGGACAATGTGGTCTATATTTTAGGTGGCTCTCAACTTTTTCCTATTAAGAGAATGGACTGCTACAATGTTGTGAAGGACTCCTGGTACTCTAAACTGGGGCCACCAACACCCCGAGACAGCCTGGCTGCATGTGCTGCTGAAGGCAAAATCTACACATCTGGGGGCTCAGAAGTAGGTGAGAAATTGCAGCTTTTAGTTCTCCTATTTTCAATTCAAGGAGTTATTTTATTTATATATAGCCCATGTTTGTTTAATGGTAACACATTTTTAGTACTGTCCACTGATATTAGTCTCTGTTCCAATGGAGTGCAGAACCTTATTTACTTAACACGCACGCACACACACACGATTTACTAAAACTTTAGAGTGCAAAATCTGGTGCAGCTGTGCATGGTAGCCAATCGGCTTCTAAATTTAGCTTGTTCAATTAAGCTTTGGTGAAAAAACCTGGAAGCTGATTGGTTTCTATGCAGAGCACTCTCCAGTAAACCAACCCCAGTGACTCATACACTAAGCTTTCAAACTAATTGTCCATGAAAATATCTATGAAATTTACCTCCCTGGCTAATACCTGAATTTTGATGCATTTGCTGAATAATGTATTGGACACAGTTGATGTAGTCTGCTGTATTTATCTTTTTAACCATTGTATAATAAACCTTCAAAATCAGTCATTCATTTGGCAGTTAGATCTGGCAAGTGGTCCTCGTAAGACCTATTCTCTTTCAATATATATATATATATATATATATTATACACACTCACTCTCACTGGCCACTTTATTAGGCACACCTGTTCAATTGCTTGGTAACACAAATTGCTAAATCAGCCAATGGGATTTTCACACACAAACATCTCTAGGGTTTACAGAGAATGGTCCAAAAAAGAGAAAATATCCAGTTAGTGGTAGTTGCGTGGATGGGAAATGCCTTGTTGATGCTAGAAGAGAATGGGCTGACTGGTTGCTGCAATATTTAGATGGTAGGGTCAGAATTTGGCGTAAACAACATGAAAGCATGGATCCATCTTGCCTTGTATCAATGGGTTCATGCTGGTGGTGGTGTAATAGTGCAGGAGATATTTTCTTGGCACTAGCAAGGTGTACCTAATAAAGTGGCCGGTGTGTGTGTATACATAAAATATATTATCTTTCTGTGGGAGTGTTCGCCTGTTTGCTAACTTGAGCTCATTGTTTTAGGTGGCCTTCAAAATTACACTCCATATTTTTATTTTATTAGATTTTTCTTTGGATCAATGATTCATGCTTATTTTTCTGTGTACAGGAAACTCTGCCCTCTACTTGTTTGAATGTTATGATACCAGGACAGAAAGCTGGCACACAAAGCCCAGTATGCTTACACAGCGCTGCAGTCATGGGATGGTGGAGGCTAATGGGCTGATCTATGTGTGTGGAGGCAGTCTGGGAAACAACGTATCTGGACGAGTGCTGAACTGCTGTGAGGTGTATGATCCAACAACCGAAACGTACGTGTGTTCAATGAAATGTGTTTCTATAGGGAGGAAACTGCTGAAGGCACTGTTTACCTGTAGAAGAGTAATGCATTGATTCTGGCACCAAGAACTTCCTTCAATAGGCAGAAACTCACCCCTTTCTTTGACCTCTAATGATCAGTCAATTGAGAATTGACAGAAGATCGTACAAATCATAGGTAATTCATTTACAAGACATCCCTGTTTGTGCTGGCCATAGCAAACGAATGCCATCAGTCCTGCCTCGTCCAACGTATCTCCTCGTACCAGTATGTTCTGCTAATTTGTACGAATTCACGTGTTTGTCCAGTAAATGCAACTGATCTTTATTATCTGACATTCAGTGGAGAGGTGAGTCTGAGCACTCAGAAGCCTGTAATGATGGGATGCAGGAAAAATCATCCCCCAGTTTTCACATCTTTATTATTTATTACAGGCCAACTGTTTGCCTGCCCCTGTGTTATTTTGTCAGGATATTTACACATTGTGTATGTATGTGTATGTGTGTATATAATATACACACACGCACGCAAAAAAATGTTGTATAGTAAATGAAGTGTCCGAGGAAACACTAGTCATGCAAGACTTTCTGCATTCAGGGAATAGAACCGTATGCTATACACAGATTTATGAGAATGCTGGTATACACCCGCATACATCCATTCATGCCTATGGCTGGCTGAACGCAACATCTTGACTTCCCAGGTTCAAAGAAAAAAAAAAATCAGAGTTTTTAGTTGTATACCCTTATGCCTGTGTGCATGAGCCCTAATTGACTCATAAACGCTGGGCATCTTATGAATTTGTCTAGGTTGTGGTGCTTAGAATTCCTGTTCTTTCCTTTTGAAGCCCATCCTATTTTCTGTACAGACTGCTAACTATAACACACACATGCACAAACACTAAGTAAGGTAATGATCTACGATTTTTACAAACAGGTGGGAATGCCTGTTCATACATGGAATAGGATATAGAATTTTTTTTTTAATAGCTGTGTAATATTTGTAAAATTGTAGGCCCCTTTTTGAGTTTCTAAAAAAAGACCTGTTCTTGTTTCCCATGCAGCTAAGTTTACATTCTCCTAGTCCAGTAAGGAAAGCCCATAGGGGCAGTTGTTGTTTCTGACACATAAAACATTGTAAGTGGGATGTTTCTGCAACTGTAAGTTTTTATTTATGTCACTCGGAGACGGCACCTGTTATGTTTTTGTGTGTGTGTGTTTTTTTGTTTTTTTTACAAAAATTAATCAATTTATTTCTCTAGGTGGACTGAACTGTGCCCAATGATTGAAGCACGGAAAAACCATGGATTAGTCTTTGTAAAAGACAAAATATTTGCCATTGGGGGACAGAATGGTTTAGGTATGTGCTTTCCTCAAACAGGTCCAATTCTGCATCTGGCATCCTACCCTCACATCGCCAGCTTGGCTCCCCAGTATGCCACTGGACATCTAAATATAATATTGTAATACTAACTTTCTGAAAGTTGGTATCTGCAAAGGGTTAGGGACACCCTGTCTGTTACAATTCGGTTATGGATATACAGTGCCTTGAAAAACTATTCATACCCCTTGAAATTTTCCACATTTTGTCATGTTACAGCCAAAAACGTAAATGTATTTTATTGGGATTTTATGTGATAGACCAACACAAAGTAACACATTATTGTGAAGTTGAAGGAAAATGATAAATGGTTTTCAAATTTTTTTTTTTTTCTAAATATCTGAAATGTGTAGTGTGCATTCAACCCCCCCTGAGTCAATTCTTTTGTAGAACCACCTATCGCTGCAAATACAGCTGCAAGTCCTATTGGGTATATCTCAACCAGCTTTGCACATCTAAAGAGTGAAAATGTTGCCCATTCTTCATTGCAAAATAGCTCAAGCTCTGTCAGATTGGGTTGAGAGCGTCTGCGAACAGCATTTTTCAAGTCTTGGCACAGATTCTCAATTGGATTTAGGTCTGGACTTTGACCGGGCCATTCTAACACATGAATATGCTTTTGATCTAAACCATTCCATTGTAGCTCTGGCTGTATGTTTAGGATCGTTGTCCTGCTGGAAGGTGAACCTCCTCCCCAGTCTCAAGTCTTTTGCTGACTCTAACAGGTTTTCTTCTAAGATTGCCCTGTATTTGGGCATCACAGTGGCTAAATGGTTAGCACTTCCGCCTGGCAGTACTAGGGTCGTTGGTTCGATTCCCAGCCATGGCTCCCCCTGCCTGGAGTTTGCCTGCGTGGGTTTCCTCTGAGTACTCCGGTTTCCTCCCATGCTCCAAAGACATGCTGGTAGGTGAATTGGCTCCTGTCTAAATTGGCCCTAGTATGTGTATGTATGAATGTGAGTTAGGGACCTTAGATTGTACGCCCCTTGAGGGTTAGGGACTGATGGGAATGTGCAATATACAGTCATGGCCGAAATTGTTGGCACCCTTGATATTTCTCCAGGAAATCATGTATTTCTCACGAAACGTATTGCATTAACACATGTTTTGCTATACACATGTTTTATTCCCTTTGTGTGTATTGGGACAAAACAAAAAAAGGGAGGAAAGAAAGCAAATTCGACATAATGTCACACAAACCTCCAAAAATGGGCTGGACAAAAGTATTGGCACCCTTTCACAACTGCGGATAAATAAAATGTTACAAGCATGTGATGCTCCTGTAAACTCACCTGGGGCAAGTAACAGGTGTGGGCAATATAGAAATCACACCTGAAAGCAGATAAAAAGGAGAGACGTTCACTTAACCTTTGCATTGTGTGTCTGTCTGTGCCACACTAAGCATGGACAACAGAAAGAGGAGACGAGAAACTGTCTGAGGACCTGAGAACCAAAATTGTGGCAAAATATCAACAATCTCAAGGTTACAAGTCCATCTCCAGAGAACTAGATTTGCCTTTGTCCACAGTGCGCAACATTATCAAGAAGTTTGCAACCCATGGCACTGTAGCTAATCTCCCTGGTCGTGGACGGATGAGGAAAATTGATGAAAGATTGCAACGCAGAATAGTCCGGATGGTGGATAAAAGCAGCCCCAAACATGTTCCAAAGACATTCAAGCTGTCCTGCAGGCTCAGGGAGCATCAGTGTCAGCGCGAACTATCCGTCGACATTTAAATGAAATGAAACGCTATGGCAGGAGACCCAGGAGGACCCCACTGCTGACACAGAGACATAAAAAAGCAAGACTACAGTTTGCCAAAATGTACTTGAGTAAGCCAAAAGCCTTCTGGGAAAACGTCTTGTGGACAGATGAGACCAAGATAGAGCTTTTCGGTAAAGCACATCATTCTACTGTTTTACCGAAAACGGAATGAGGCCTACAAAGAACAAAACACAGTACCTACGGTAAAATATGGTGGAGGTTCAATGATGTTTTGGGGTTGTTTTGCTGCCTCTGGCACTGGGTGCCTTGACTGTGTGCAAGGCATCATGAAATCTGAGGATTACCAAAGGATTTTGGGTCGCACTGTAGGGCCCAGTGTCAGAAAGCTGGGTTTGCGTCCAAGATCCTGGGTCTTCAAGCAGGACAATGACCCCAAACATACGTCAAAAAGCACTCAGAAAATGGATGGCAAAGAAGCGCTGGAGAGTTCTGAAGTGGCCAGCAATGAGCCCAGATCTAAATCCCATTGAACACTGTGGGAGAGATCTTAAAATTGCTGTTGGGAAAAGGTGTCCTTCCAATAAGAGAGACCTGGAGCTGTTTGCAAAGGAAGAGTGGTCCAAAATTCCGGGTGAGAGGTTCAGAAGCTTATTGATGGTTATAGGAAGCGACTGATTTCAGTTATGTTTTCCAAAGGGTGTGCAACCAAATATTAAGTTAAGGGTGCCAATACTTTTGTGCCAGCCCATTTTTGGGGTTTTGTGTGACATTATGTCATATTTGCTTTTCTGCCTCTGTTTTATATTTGTTCCAATACATACAAAGGGAATAAACATGTGTATAGCAAAACATGTGTTAATGCAATACCTTTTTTGTGTGAAATACTTGATTTTCAGGAAAAATATCAAGGGTGCCAACAATTTCGGCCATGACTGTATATGTAAAGCGTTGTGTAAAATTGACGGCGCTATAGAAGTACCTGGAATAAATAATTTGGCTCCATCCATTTTCCCATCAACTCTGACCAGCTTCCCTGTTTCTGCTGAAGAAAAGCATCCCCACAACATGATGCTGCCACCACCATGTTTCACGATGGGAATGGTGTTTTAGGGTGTGGTGTTTTAGGGTGTTGTGCAGTGTTAGTTTTCCGCCACCACATAGTGTTTTGCTTTTAGGCCAAAAAGTTAAATTTTGGTCTCATCTGACCAGAGCACCTTCTTCCACATGTTTGCTGTGTCCTCCACATGGCTTCTCGCAAACGGGACTTCTTACGGCTTTCTTTCAACAGTGGCTTTTCTTCTTGCCATTCCATTCCATAAAGGCCCGATTTGTGGAGTGCACTACTAACAGTTGTCCTATGGACAGATTCTCGCACCTGAGCTGTGGATCCCTGCAGCTCCTGCAGTTACCATGGGCCTCTTGGCTGCTTCTCTGATTAATTGTTCTCCTTGCCCGACCTGTCCATTTAGGTGGACAGCCATGTCTTGGTAGGTTTGCAGTTGTGCCATACTCTTTCCATTTTCAGATGATGGCTTGAACAGTGGTTTGTGAGATGTTCAAAGCTTGGGATATTTTTTAATTAACCTAACCCTGCATAAAACTTCTCCACATTTTTTATCCCTTACCTGTCTGGTGTGTTCCTTGGCCTTCATGATGCTATTTACTCACTGATGTTCTCTAACAAACCTCTGAGGGCTTGACAGAACAGCTGTATTTTATACTGAGATTAAATTACACACAGGTGGACTCCTGTTTACTAATTAGGTGAATTCTGAAGGCAATTGGTTCCACTAGATTTTAGTTAGTGTATCAGAGTAAAGGGGCTGAATACAAATGCAACCCACATTTTTCAGATAATTGTAAAAAAAAATTTGAAAACCATTTATCATTTTCCTTCCACTTCACAATTATGTGCCACTTTTGTGTTGGTCTATCACATAAAATCCCAATAAAATACATTTACATTTTTGGTTGTAACATAACAAAATGTTGAACATTTCAAGGGGTATGAATACTTTTTCAAGGCACTGTATGTTCCCTATTGCCCCAATTGCATCACAATTACAGTCCTGGCCAAAAATATTGGCACACCTGCATTTTTGTCAGATAATGCGCCACTTCACCCAGAAAATTGTTGCAATTGCAAATGTTTAGGCATTTGCATGTTTGTTTTGTTTGTATTGGTATGTCACAAACAGGGGAGAAACAAAAAGCTAAATCTGACACATTCCACGCAAATATCCAAATATGGACTGGACAAAATTATTGGCACTCAAAATTGTAAGAAATGATTGCATTGCAAGTCTGTGATGCTCCTGTAATTTTGTAATTAACCACTTGCCCTCCTGAGGATTTACCCCCCTTCCTGGCCATGCCATTTTTTGCATTACGGCGCTGAATTACTTTAACTGATAATTGCACGGTCATGCAACGCTGCACCCAAATTAAATTTACGTCCTTTTTTTGCAAGAATTAAGTTTTCTTTCGGTGGTATTTGATTGCTTGTGTGTGTTTTTATTTTTTTTGCGCTATAAAAAATAAAGACTGACAATTTTGAGAAAAAAAAACTATATTTTTGACTTTCTCCTATTAAAAATGTCCAATAACAAAATTTAAAAAAATCAAATTTCGTCATAAATTTAGTCAAAAATGTATTCTGCTACATGTCTTTGCTAAAAAAAAAAAAAAAAAAAAAATCCCAATACGTGTAAATTAATTGGTTTACGTGAAAGTTATACCGTTTACAAATGGCGGAATATATACTGGGATTTTTATTTTTACTAGTAATGGCGGCGGTCAGCAAATTATAGTGGGACTGCAGCGGGCATTCTGACACTGGGGGGAACTGACTTGGTGTCACTGACATCCCCAGTGACACCAATAGAGTGATCAGTGCTAAATGAAAGCACTGACACTGTACTAATGGCACTGGGCAGGAAGGAGTTAACTGTGTGCTGTTTTACTCTGTGCTGTGTCTGTGTGCTTCACTGTAAGCACACTGCTTGGATGGCTGTGCTGTGCACAGCCATCCAAAGTAGTGTGCATGAGCTGACAGGGAGGAGAATTGTATTTTTTTGCATACAGTTCTCCTCTCTGTCGGAGATGCTCATGAATCCCTGGGCGCCGGCAAGTAATCACCGGCTGGGACCTGGTGATTGACAGCTGCGGCCGCAAATGGCGGCGCAGGTAGGGCGCGCACATGCCTCTCTCACACCCCCTACCCGGAAATGCGAAATTACGTATATATACACGTGATTTTGCGCACCCATGCCACCCTGTAGCAGTATAGCTGATATAGGGCGGTCGGGAAGCGGTTAAACCCACCTGTATCAATTAACAGGTGCTGACAATATAGAAATCACACCGACAACCAGTTAAAATGGTGAAAAATGTACTCATCCTTTCTGATGTGTGTCTCTGTGTGCCACATGGAGCATGGAGAAGAGAGAGTGCAGAAAAGAATTGTCTGAGGATTTGAGAACAAGAATTGTGGAAAACGCATGAACAATCTCAAGGTTATAAGTCCATCTCCAGAGATCTTAATGTTTTTGTGTCCACTGTACGCAACATTGTCAAGATGTTTACAGCCCATGGCACTGTAGCTAATATCCCTGTACGTGGACGAAAGAGAAAAATTGATCAGACATTGCAACAAAGGATTGTTTGGTGGATAAAGAACCTCGATCGACTTCTAGACAAATTCAAGCTGACCTTCAGGCACAGGGTACAACTGTGTCAACTCGCACTGTACGTTGCCATCTGAATTTAAAGGGACGTTATGGTAGGAAACCCAGGAGGACCCCACTGCTGACACAGATATATAAAAGAGCCAGATTGGAGTTTGCCAAAACTTACCTGAGGAAGCCAAAATCATTTTGGGAGAATGTGCTGTGGACAAACGAAAAAAAAAAAAAAAATAAGACAGCTTTTTGGTAAAGCCCATCATTCTACTGTTTTCAGAAAAAGCAATGAGGCCTTTAATAAAAAGTCCCTACAGTCAAACATGGTGGAGGGTCACTGATGTTTTGGAGTTGCTTTGCTGCTTCAGGCAGCGGAGGTCTTGACTGTGTGCATGGCATTGTGAAATCTGAAGACTACCAAAGAATTCTGGGGTGCAATATAGGGCTCAGTGTCAGAAAGTTGGGTCTCCGTCAGAGGTCATGGGTCTTACAGCAAGATAATGAAACTAAGCACACATCAAAAAGCACCCAAAAATGGTTTCAGACAAAGACATGGAGAGTACTGAACTGGCCAGCAATCAGTCCAGATCTTAATCCCATAGAGCACCTGTGGAGAGATCTCAAAACAGCAGTTGGGAAAAGGAAACCCTTCCAATCTGAGAGACCTGGAGCAGTTGTTGAAAGAAGAGTGGTCCAAAATTCCAGTAGAGAGGTGTAAGAACCTCATTGATGGTTACAGGAAGTGATTGATTTCAGTTATTTTTTCTAAGGGGTGTGCTACCAAATATTAAATTGAGGATGCCAATAATTTTGTCCAGTCCATTTTTGGAGTTTTGCATGGTATGTGTCAGATTTGGCTTTTTGGCACTCATTTTTTTTTGTGTCAGACAGACTAATACAAACGAAAGAAACATTAGAATGCCTAAACATTTGTAATTGCAACAGTTCTCTGGGTGAAGTGATGCGCTGACAGAAATGCAGGGGTGTGAATATTTTTGGCCATGACTGTATTAAGAGTATGGTTATGCGATAGCAGTATTACATGCTGTGCAGTTATCTGTGCTGACAGAGATTTGTGGTATATTTTCAGGTGGTCTGGACAGCGTTGAATATTACGATATCAAACTTAATGAATGGAAGATGGTATCTCCAATGCCTTGGAAGGGGGTGACTGTGAAATGTGCAGCAGTCGGCTCAGTTATTTATGTACTGGCTGGGTTCCAAGGAGTGGGCCGCTTAGGACATATACTAGAGTACAACACAGAGACAGACAAGTGGATTGCCAACTCCAAAGTGCGAGCCTTTCCTGTGACCAGCTGTCTAATATGTGTTGTGTGGACACATGCGGAGCAAATGAAGAGACACTGGAAACATGAAGATTTTATAATGTGGAATAAATCTTCACAGTAACCAACTATTTGTAACCTGTCTTTGTCCTTTTCTGTTTATGGGCTTTACATTTCATCATGTACCATGCTACAGAGGATGGGCAAAAGATAAGGTGGACTGCGACCTATCTTCAGTCTCCCAAACTTCTTGCATTTAATCTGCTCCTGTACTCCCAGGAGTTTAAAAACTTTGGAGCGGTTCGTTAGTTTTAAAAAGTTTTATGATTTAATAATGTGGACTTCAATGTTCAGTATAGTGCACCTGCTGAATAGTTTGGGCACGTACCTTTATACACACATAAGCACATCATAGGAAATGCATATTTCTTTTGTATATTATATTCTAGAATGTACTGGGATGTGCAGGATGGCAGTTAAGCATCTCATCAAAAGTCTGTGCTGCAAATTGTTTTGGTAGACAAATACCACAAAAAGGTGTGTCTGTGTACTTTAAAAAGTGAGTTGCAGAAAAGGCCTGTGCTGTATACTGTAGCAAAATGGAGTTTGCCTTGCAGCATGAAGGTCTAATGCTTATTCCATCATAGAAGCCACATCTATGTTCCCCACGTTTGCATGGAATTCTTGATGGTCATTGATTTTCTTATGACTCTTCCCCTAAGCAAAAACGAAAAAAAAGAATGCATCGGGCATCAAACTTCCTCTTAAAGATGTAGTTATACACTCTTTGAGTGTGGGCCCTTAATAGAATTAGTACCATCTGATGGACTTTTGAGGTATTTAGGAACTTCCTCCCAAATTTGCAGCCTAATTGTGTGTTATATTGAACAATGTCTGTTGTTTCAAGTTTGTATGTTTTGCGATTTTGTTTTTAAATAAAAGGTAAACCCAATTTTGACTAGTCCCATCTTTTTTTTTTTTTTTTTTTTTATATTCTGCATTGCCTACTTCACACCAGTGATGTATTTTATACATATATTGATACTTTAAGGGTATTTTACTGTTATTACACAGGATTTATATAGCGTGAACAGTTTGCGCAGCACTTTACAACATGCGGGCAGACAGTACATTTACAATGCAATTAATACAGGAGGAATCAGGGGCCCTGTTCATTAGTCTACAAGCTAGGAGGGAGGGTCAAGTGATACAAAAGGTAATAGCTGTGTGTGGGGGGGGGGGGGGGGTAAGCTGATGGAGAAAATAAAACTTCAGTTGTTAGGTCGGGGCAGAATAGACTTCTCTGAAGAGAAGAGTTTTTTCAGGGAGTGTCTAAAGGCAGAGTAAGAGGTAGACAGATTGGGGTAGGGAGTTCCATAGGATGGGAGAGGCTCAAGAAAAGTCCTGGAGGTGAGCATGGGAGGAGGTGACGAGGGAGCTAGAGAGCAAGAGGTCTTGGGAGGAACGAAAAGAAAAAATAGGTTGGTATTTTGAGACTAGGTTAGTGATGTAACTGGGGGCTGAGTTGTGGATGGCTTTGTAAGTTGTTAGTATTTTGAAATTAATTTGTTGGGTGAATGGCAGCCAATAGAGGGATTGACAGAGAGGAGTAGCTGACACTGAACGGTTGGTAAGGTGGATGAGCCTGGCAGAAGCATGCATGGTGATCTGAAGGTGGGGGGGGGGGGGATAGCCTATGTCATGGGTGCTCAACCTGTGGCCCTCCAGCTGTTGTGGAACTACATGTCCCGTGAGGCATTGCACAGCTGACAGTTACAAGCATGACTCCAAAAGGCAGACACATGATGGAAGGCCACATGTTGAGCACCCATGTGTAAAGGTAATCTAGTGAGGAGGGAGTTGCAAGAGATGACCAGGGAGTGGACTGTTGACGGCTAACAGTGTTTACAGTCTGACATCAGCCAGGTTTCCCCACACCCATCAAATGTGCAACTAGCTATTGGCTTTGCTGGTGAGTTCACAACACACTAAAAGAACATAAGAGGAGTCTCCCTTTCAATTGTGGTACATCCTGCTAATTGAACACCATTTCCCAGAAACCCTTGCACTGTCGTTTCTGTAGCAATGCATTGCTTTCATAGAGTCTGGTGTAGTATGCAGGAGAAGCCCCTGAGAATGAAGCTTCAAAATAAATATATATATTGTAAAATTAAAATGGACACAAATGTGGCCCTTTTAGGTCAGACACCACTATTCTATCATTCTAAAACATGGCATTATTATATCTTTTCTTGCATCCAGTATTAATACTAGCTTGCATAAATAGTGGTTTTCCATGTCACTGAAAAACATGCCATAGATCATTTTGCAAAAAAAATCTCGTTTAACTTAAATATATCATTGTGCTTAACTAAAAGGGAGGAGCATCCTACTGCCAAGAACTGTATGTGAAAGAAGGGGTACCTGTTTCTATCTTACCACAAAGTGCTGGTAAACAGGAGTCTGTTTTTCTGTGCACTGAAAACCCCATTAATGAGCTACATCCAACACAACCTAAAATGCTGATACAATAAGAAACAATATCACTTTTAGAAGGGTAACACTGTGATAAATACCTTCCAATCAGATGTGAACAAAAGCCTTTTGAAGTGGAGTTCCACTCATCTGTCAAACAATAAAAGTCAGCAGCTACATCTAGACCATCAGACCAGAAATAGAGGCGGGTACCTGTCAAATTTGGGTACCCGCTCTCCCCCCCCCCCCCCCCCAAAGTGCCAATCCTTAATGGGGAGAAGGGGAGTAGTCCTTAAAGCGGAACTTCCCCTTTTGGGTGGAGCTCCGTTTTAAATGCATACTAGACACAATAGGGTTGATTTACAAAAATGGAGAGTATAAAATCTGGTGCAGCAGTGCATGGTAGCCAATCAGCTTCTAACTTCAGCTTGTTCAAATATGCTTTGACAAAAAAAAAAAAAAACTGGAAGCTGATTTGGTTTCTCTGCATAGCTGCACCAGATTTTGCACTCTCCAGTTTTAGTAAATCAACCCTAGTGCCTGCCTGTCTAAGACTTGTTTTCTATCTGGCTTTCTATCCGGCTACTTCATTGGCAAAACAGGTAAGAAAAAAAAATCCCATAATTTGTTATGGGAGCAATCTTCATTGAATGTAAAGGATAAGTTCACCTTTAGGAACATGTTGCATGTTCCGCCTGTTTTTAGGGAGGAACATGTAACATGTTCCCACTGCTGCAGCTGCTCACCAATCCCCTCTCCCTGTCACAGCAGTACGGGGAGCTTACTAGCTGTCACTTTTTAAAAAGAGCTCAGAGTTCTGTGAATGAATCAACTTCCGACATCCTTTGCGACTGTTGGCTTGTAGTTCTCCGTGAACTACCATGGCACTGTTGAGCGCTTTAGTAGTTCATTGATTCTTCCTGTTCCTCTGTAACTGCCTGTCCGTACAATGTACGAGCAGACAGCTTATACTAACAGTCTGTGGATTGCTGGTGCAATGCTTTCCAGGATCCTAAAGAAAAAGTAAATGCACTCATTTTTTCCTGCAAAAAATATGTGCATTTATTTATTTTTTTTAAAGGTGAACTTATAATTTAAATCCTTTCAAGATCCTATTCACTCCATTATTGAAAGGTATGAAGATGTGTTTCTGTTAGTGTCATTTCCTGACCAACCATCACCATCATCCATTTGATTATTCACCAAGTTTTCTTCAATTGTCTACAAACCTCCCTCTGCTGTCCCAACCCACTTTTATTTTCCATACCACTGAAGAGAATGCTGCTGTACACTCATAAAGCAAATCTCTGGAGGTCCAGAGCAGATACCTGCTGCTGTGTTTAAATTAAAGTGGAACTAAAGTCCATTGGGTGAGTGCCATAATGTGCCTAGCATACTTTCCTCGCACAATGCCCTCCTCCATTGAAGAGCGGTCCAGACGCTGGGGACTGCCAATGCTGACCTCCTCCTGAAATTGCTAGTTGGCCATCTGTTATTCTCTGGCTTCAGTATATGTCACTAACCCTGAGCTACTATGTAGAAAGTCGGATATCATCTCCACACTTGTTCTTTTAAAAAAAACAACGCAGCCATCACATCTAAACTGCAATATAATAAATGTAGTTAAATGTGGTTAAAATAATTCTTAATTCCAGGATTGTTAGAAACAAGTTACAATATCTGGTTCAATGGGAAGGCTATGGACCAGAGGAAAATTTTTGGGAACCTGAGGAGGATGTTCATGCTCCCAGATTGACAAGAGTTCCACCAGAGGTTTCCGCATAAAGCTGGCCCTAAGACGTCCAGAAGGCCATCTTGGAAGGAGGTGAGTACTTTCAGGGTCCAGATCTGAACTTGGAACCTGTGCAGTATCAGGCTGTACCTCTTCTCACTGTGTCACTCAAGATGCTGGACTGCTCGCTGTCTGATCCCATGTACTTTGTTTCTGGTGAACCTTGAACTCCATGCTCCTATGAACTTCCTTATTTAAGCCATGTCTCTGCAAGTCCTGTTTGCCAGATTTTGTGTTCTTCTCCTGCCAATATCCTGCTCCTTTCACTCCTGCTGCCATATGTTTCTTCAATACAACTAGTTATTGACCTTTTGTCTTGTTCCTTGACTATGCTTGTGCTTGATTCCAACCTGCAACCATTTGTTATCGACCTTTGGCTTGTTCCTTTACTACACTTCCAGTTTATACCAACCTTTGGCTTGTTTACAAACTGCGCTTTTGCTTAATCCTACCTGCTACATCTGCTTCTGGACCTTGGCTTACTCACCTCCTGGTGGGGAAATTCTGAGAACCACATCCTGGCACTAGCACACAGCAAAACCAATCTCAATTATCAGGAGTTCTGGTGTACGGCTGTAGCTCTCTCACAAAACCCTAAGAATCCTGTAGTCCCTAAGTGTACCTTGTCCAGGCACCTTAATTTATTCTGAATAGCACAAGAGGACAACACCTAGCTCCACCAATTAGAGGCTCCCTGTTATTCAGGTTTAGGGAAACCACAACACCAACTGCACACAAAGATGTTTTAAGAAAGTGCGCATTTATTTCTTTTACTACATTAAAGATCTTTTGAGGATCTTCCAGTGAAAGATCCTCAAAAG